AGCCTGAGGCGATCCCCGGAGGTGTGAACACACTGCAGTGTCTGCCCTGGCCCGGAGGCGTAGCGGGAAGCCGAGCCCCAGGGACCCCAGGAAGGAAAGTCTGTCTGGAGACAGTGTCTGCGATCTCACGTGGAGGCGCCGAGTGGCTGCACCTCCAAGACCTGTCTGCTCTTTTTTCTCCAGAAATGAATCGTCTTTCCTGAACCCCCACCCTCTCCCCCAGCCGCAAGGCCCCAGGGCGGAATGTAACATCTTGTAATGTGGCAATCACTGCCAAACCCGTCCCGAGAGGGGAACTCCCGCCAGGGTGGGGGTAGGGTCCTTAGAGGGCTGTAAGGCCTTAGCGACTGCCCGCTCTGGTGCGCGTGGGCTCGGGGACCGCTCGTCCGGCAGATCCCGGGTAGGGAGAGAAATCTGGCCGCAGGGAGGCTTCCTCGGAGCTGCTTTGAGTGTCAAGACCTGCGAGAGGCCGCTACTCTTAAGACAGCTGTGTCCAGGGTCGCAGGATCCTTTGGCGCCCCACTCATGGTTCTAAGACCCAGGACACAAAGTCGAATTCAAGGAACCTGTCTGTATTGTAGTAGGAAGAGAGCTGTAGCTTTATTCTCAAAGGCGTTTGACCCCAAACAGGTTAAAGCCACTGGTGGTCGCTCTTCCCAGAAAGAATGGGACTGGCTTGGGATTTGAGCGCCTGTTGGGGGCTCCCGGAGTGGGACAGTGATGCCCGCTCGGGGTTATACTGTCCGTAAGACTGGCCCAAAAGGGGATCTTTTGGTCCCTATGTCCTTGGGTGGTGAGGAGCTCTAAAATCGGAGGAAACCCAGGATCGCTTCTGGGCTTCTTTTTCTACCTCCCCCATGTCTTCTACTTTGGAATTGTTTGTAAACAAAGCTCTAGTCTTCTCTCGTTCTCTCCGCCCCCACTAAACCTGATACTTCCCCCAAACTCGCCCCATCAGTCTCGGAAATCTTTACTCAGGACGGATATTCACAATTTTCACAAGTGGTCTTGCAAGAAGGCCGACGGGAAGCTTCCTAAACGGTCCCACATTGCAGCAGGGCTGATTAGGCCCGGGGTCCGCTCTCTCTCCTTTCTGCCCTCCCTAGTCGCGGAGCTGGGGGCGGGCGGCGCGAATTCCGGGTAGCCGGAGGGACTTATGCGCCTTTCCCAGCTTTGCAGCAAGGGCTTGGAACGGGCGGATTCAGGGGCACCGCGGTGCAAGTGCTGTGCCCGAGCGCGGAGAGCCCTGCCAGAGGGTGGGGCGGTGAAGCCCCGGCACCCCTCACTCTTCGGTCCCTCCTCCCCTCGCCTCCCAGCGCTTGTCACATCCTGTCTCCGGCCCGATATTTTATGCGAGCAAATGGATAGGGATTACAATGAAGATTTATGTGTGTTCCGAGCGCGGCTGGTTTCCCAGTGTAGGGAATCGAGATCGCTGCTTCCCAATTCCATTTTTCATCCGCACTTTGGGGCACGCCGTGGAGCACGGGGGGAGCGTGTCTGCGCGGTGGCGGCGGGCGGATCACAGGGCCCCGCGTCTCCGGGCGGACTGTGAGAACGGCGGCCAGCGCATCGCCCCCGGCGGGGCTGCAGCCTCCCCCCCTCCCCCCGCTCCCTGGGGCCGCGCTTTGTTTCTCCCCGCGCCCACCCCTCGGCGTCCCCCCCCCGCCCCTCACTTCTCCGACGGGCAGCGTCCCTGCCCGGCGCTCCCACCTTGCCCTTTCTCTAGGGCTGCGGAAACGCCCCTTTACCCGGCCCAGCACCCTCCTGCCCTTGGCTTTGCCGGCTCTCAGGGGAGAGGCGCGCCTTGGCCCGGCCCGACCCCGCCGCCGCCGAGCGCCAGGTTCGGTGACTCCGGCGAGTCTGTGGGGCCTCGGCCCACCCCGGAGAGGGGCCGCCCGCCCTCCCGGCGGCTCCCATGCTCGGCTCATGCCAAGGCCTGTTGCGTGATTCCAACTTGGGCTGACATTCCCTGCCCCGGGCGCTCCGGCGTAGGCCTCTTAATCATCTTGTCTGCGGCAGATCCTCGACACCAGCCAATTTACTGCCCCGTCTCTCCCCGCTGGTTTCGGGAGGGGGGAGGGGAGTGCACGCGAAGGAGGGGAGGGCACAGTCGACCGCAGGAGGAAGGCTGGCACCAGCTCCTGGTACTCAAACAGCCCCGTGGAATGTGCAACTGGAGTGGGGGTCGGGGTGAGGGGCAGGGAAGGGAGTCTGGTAGGCAGCGGTTGCTTTAGTATTGTGGGTCAGCGGTCTTCCGTCCTTTCTAACCTGGGAAAACAATGCAGAAATGCGAAGGGACACGGGATTATATATCCTCCTTTTTTTCCAGAGCCCCAAATGCTGGAACAACACTCTATTGTAAACTAGACTTGGAGCAGGCCCCACAACAATCTAGGCGAAAAAGTCAGGGGAACCCGCCCCATGGTTCTATGGCCCCCAGAAAGTTTCCTTCACGTATGTCTGTGTGGGGCAGAGAAGAATTGAGGCCCTGTAATATGGATGACCTAAATAACCTGGAGAAGAGGAGGCCAGGAGCTGGCCGGCAGGACCACCTGGCCTGTACCCAGCCTCCTTTCTAGTGGAGGCGGATCCCTCAAAAGGATGCAGTTCAAGCCCCACATGGGAAGGCTCCATGGCTCTCCCAGCCTCGGGAAGCTGCTTTCCCACACAAGGTGAACCTGGAAAGACCCCCCGGGTAACTTCACAATCACAGGCAAAAAGCAAGCCCTTTCGGATTGGGGACACTGTGATAAAACAAATATTAAATACAAGGCAGGTAAAGTGCAGCTAGAGTTTATCGTGTGCCAGGCACTGTTACGTCACTGCCTCATTAAGGGTTCATTAAGTTGTTGCTCACAACAACTCTTAGCCTTAGCTGTTATTATGGTTTCTATCTTATAGATCTGCAACTGTAACACAGGCTAAGAGGGTTGCCCAAGGTCGTGTAGTCAGTGATTGAAGTCAGCAAGCGTCCAACTGTGGGCCCCAGGTGCTGTCAGGGATAGGGATTTTAGTTGCCGCACTACACATCTACCCCTGACTCTTGCAGGCAATGCTACCAAGGTGGGGCATTTTCAAAGCTGGAAGCTGGCTTTTGGGGGGCCGGTGGTAGAAAACAGAGCTGAGTGGCATGTGTACTTTTCCTCTCTACCGGTGTGAAATGCAAGGCTTCCAACCCCACAGCACCGGGCACCCGTCTGCGTGAATGGGCATGTGAGTCAATGTGTCAGTGTGTGAATGTGTGTGTATGGATTTGTGTCCGTGTCATGTGTGGTTAAGTGTGACTATTTTGTGTCCTATATCGTGTGTGCCGCTGCTTATGAAAGTGAGCACACAAGTAACTACTGAGTGTGCCAGTGTGTGCGCTAGCGCGGCCCTATGCGCAGGGTCGTCCTGGATTCCAGAGCAGCTAACCGCGCCCTCCGAGGGTGACTCACGGAATTCTCCGCTTTGCCAGCTCCCAAAGGGCCGCGGGGCTAACGGAGGGTCGGGTCGGATGTAAAGGTCTGATCTCTAGCTGCGGCTGAGCTCAGGCTGCGCACAGCGGGTTCCCCAGCGGCGGCTCACACGCACCGCAGGTCCGGCAAGGCGGACGCGGGGGCGGCCGAGACCGCCCAGGAGCGGGGCGGTGTCTCGGGCGCCAGGCTGCCTGGCGGGCGGAGGCTGAAGCCGCCCGGTGCTGAGTGAGTCACTGCGCCGCGGCCCGGAGAACTCCGCGAGGGGACGGAAGAGGGCGGAGCTGAGCCCTTGGCGCTAGCGAGAGCTTGGTCTTGGGCTCGCCGCATCTCTCGCTCACCGGCTGCAAAGTGCAAACGTTGCTCTCATCTGACCCGGTTCTGAGCCTAGGAGGCGGCTTGAGCGCGGTAAGCCTAGGCACCAAAGAAAATTCACACACTCCAATGAAAACAATAATTTATTTAAATAATCTCTTCATATTGTAAAATCAACATTAAGAGCATGTTGTTCTCATAATAAATAACCTCAAAATACCTTGCATTTCAAGAACAAAGACTTTCGGATAAAACAAATTCAAATCAGTAGCTTAATTTGACTGAGAAATTTTTTCAAAGGGAAAAAATAAAATGGAAGGGTTGCTGAGGTCACAGCTCGACCGCAGTTTTCACAACTAGGGTTTACAAAAATGTCTGAAAAGATGAAGATTTTTATACAAATAAATCAGTGGGAAAATCTTCACAGACACCTTTATTTACAAACTGTCGAAGTCCAGGCTCGTAATCCTGAATAAATCTTAAAAAAGATAATTTAAACACATTTTTTGCAGTGTTCACATATTAAAAATCATTTTTCCCAACATCAAAATGAGGTCATCCGCAAAGGCACCTAAACTTTTAAAAAAATAAAAATGAAAAAACTCCACTGTGATGGATGAGGAGAGAGCTACGGGAGTGCTCCTGGGGACCGCTAAGGCTGGGAAGGATGGGGGCGGCGGGGTCTGTGAACAGAGGGGCAAAAAAAAAAAAAAAAAAAAAAAAAAGCCTTGAGGCCCCGGGTCAAGGGGGCAGGAGGGGGAGGACGGGCCGGCGGGACCCCGGGAGGTCAATAACCGCAGAGCGCCGGAGCCGAGCCGGGGGCAAGCGAGGAGAAAGGAGTCTCAGAGCCCGGGCAGCTCGCGGGCGGGGCCGGCGTCCTTCTCCCCGGCTCAGCTCGAGGCCCCAGGCGACGAAGGCGCCGGACGACCTCGCCAGGCGCGGAAGGGGGGAGGCGAGCCCCAGGAGGGGCTCGAAAAGGCCGAGGCTCGGGGCTCAGGTCAGAAATGCGGCTTGGGCGCGGCCGTCGCCGGGCAGCTGTCCACTTCTCCCAAGAGCAGCCCTCGGGGCGCGGGTCCCCAGTTTCCAGCTGCCCGGCCGGGCCGTCCCAGGAGCACCCTCCTGCACTGCTAAGTGGCAGCGGCGAGCGGCAGCAAGGACCCTCCCGCGGCGGGGCGAGCACCGAGGCTCCCGGGTGCTTGCTCAGTCTCTGGCGCCGGCACCGTAGGGTTAGAAAATCGTCCCTGCGCTCACCGGGGCTCCCCCGCCGCCATGGTGATGGTGGTGGTGGTGGTGAGGCTGCGGGGTCTGCGTGGGGTGCAGCAGTGGCGCGGTGGCCTGCAGGTGCGAAGCGGAGCCCGAGGCCTGGTGGTACCACGGGTAATTGCCCAGAAACGCCGAGGCCGCGCTGCTTGGGCTGGAGCCGGAGCTGCCAGCGCCGCTGCCGCCGCTGGCCGGGCCGCCGCCGCCCCCCATCCGCGGCGGCCCGCCGAAGTCCCAGGAGGCCGGCGCCGAGACGGGCGGGGAGGCACAAGGTGGCGAAGCGCTGGCCCCAGGGTGCTGCTCGGATGGGATCTCGCCGCTCTTCCACATCTTCTTAAATTTGGATCGGCGATTTTGGAACCAAATTTTGACCTTTGTGAGAAAAGGATCGGAGCTTTAGTGGAGGAACCCGGGTAGGGGCAGGGAGGGGAGTAGCAGAGAAAGCCCGCAGGCCAGACTTGGCCATTGAGCAACTGGGCCAGCCAGTGGATCTCGCGCTGCAGCTTCCAGCTGGATGGGAGGTGACCTCAAAAAGTTGAGGCTCCCGTTATGACTGTGTCTGACCCCGGGGGTCCGTGCGGTGGTGACAGCGGAGGGTGTCAGAAGGACTACTTATATTGCCCACTAATGAGTACCGTGTGGAAAGGCAGTGGGGTACCGGTTTTCTGTGCACATCGGTCCCTCTCCTCCCCTCCCACGCAGCGACCCTTTGGGGATTTTGCAGCTTTGGGCCTAGAGGTTTAGGTTGCCAAGGTGCGGGCCTGCAAATTCTTAAAACTCCTTAAATACATTATTTTATAATTATACATTATTTTAAAGAAGTTCTGAACGCGCGTATTTCCGGGGCCACCCAGGCCCGCACCCTCCGGGTCCCCGCAGGGCTGAGCCCCACCTGAGTCTGGGTGAGGCCTAGCGACGCCGCCAGCTCGGCTCGCTCGGGCAGCGCCAGGTACTGAGTCTTTTGGAAGCGCCGCTGAAGAGCTGCCAGCTGGAAACTCGAATAGATAGTTCGGGGTTTCCGGACTTTCTTTGGCTTCCCGTTTACTATCCGGATTTCAGGCTCGAGGTCTTCCTTCTCTGCAAAGAAACGGAGTTGTGATTACCGCGCAACGCGGGGATCCTGAAGTTCTCGCCTGCGGGAAGGGCTCGGAGGGAACTTGGCGGGAGCCGGGAAGCGAGCCGGTGGAGAAGTTTCGCGGGCTGCAGGCGCAACTTCGCCACGTGGGGACCGAGCTGCCGCCCACCCCGCGAGCTGAGCCTTCGGGGAAGGGGAGGATGAGGAGCATGCCGAGAGAAAGAGGACGCACGGGACTCGCCGGTGGCGAGGAAATGAGCTATTGGGAGGCGGCACTGTTGTCCACCCTGCCCTGGAGCCGATGGATCTCCCTAGCTGAGTGCCGAGGGACAAATCCTCTCTCGCGGGACACTGGAGACTGAGGAGGGTAAAGGACTGGGGCTGGCGCTGCGCAGGCAGTGTGAACAGCCAAGACTCCGGGGGGCCCTCCTCCCCGAAACATGTTAACTCATCCGTCCCAGTGACCCACTACTTGGGACCCCGGACACCCGCATTGTGCATACCGGGCTCGTTGTTGGCTGGAGAAGAGCTCGTTCCGTAGGGCGCGTAGGAGGTGTAGGCGGCAGTGTAGCCCAGGTCGTAGCTGCTCTTGGCGGAGTATGGGACGTTGTTGAGGCCGCTGGCGTGGTACTGGTAGGAGCCCATGTGAGCGTAGGGAGAGGCCCCCCCGCCGCCGCCGCCGCCGCCGCCGCCGCCCGCCGGGTGCTGCTGGTTGGTGTAGTAGCTGCTGTCGGTGGCCGTGGACACCGGAAGGGTCGGCGATTCCTGGGGCTTGTGTAGGCTGCTGCCGCCGTTGCTGCCACCCGGGCCGGCGCCACCGCCGCTCGGGGGCTGCTGGTGCTGGTGGTAAGTGCTGGAGGCCGCGATCTGGGTCGAGTGCATATCAGCCACCAGACTGTCAAAGACTCCAGTCATCCTGGCCCGGGACGGGAAAGAGCAGGGGTGGCGGGCGTGAGGGGGAAGCCAGGCGCCTCCTCTGTCTCTCCCGGTCCCTTCCAGGAGCCAATGTAATTACGGGTGGGGGGGCGGCGGTAGAGGAAAACAAGAAACGAGGCAACGAGCTAGGCGCCTCCTCCTCGGGGGCGGCGATCACCGCGCGCCGCTCGGGACAGCCGCCGCGGGCCGCATCCTCGCGGCCGTCTTGGCTCCCTGCCCAGCGCGGGCTCGGGCGGGGGCGAGGGATGGAGTGGGTAGGGGTGACCCGGCCGGGTCGGGGCTGCAGGAGGCGGGAGCAGGTGAGCGGCCCGGAGCAGCTTTACGATTGTCTGCCAGGCGGGCTCCTGCAGGGTGGGCATTTAACACTTGTCACGTGAGCGCAGGCGACGTCACCTAGCAACAGCCAATGGGAAGCGACCGACCCTGCGGCTCTCGGAGCCCAGAAGCTCCACAGTGTGTGGGGGGGGCGGGTGTCACGTGGCGGGCACAGCGGCTACAGCACTCGCGGGTGCTCACCGGCCGCGCTGAAAGGGAGCAGAGTGGCGTGGGGGTGCAAGTGCGGGGGGGAGTGCGGGGGGGGGTGTCATGGGGTGCGGACAGGCCTGCATCAGGACTGAAGGCATAAAGAGAGAGACTGGCGTCTTGTCCGGCAGAAGTGGGGTCTCCCGTCCTATTCTGTGTGCGAGAGCCAATCCTAGTGATTCTGTGCCTTCGTGTCAGAGGTCAGCTTTCAAACACATTAATCACATAAAGCGTTGCGGAGAGCCGAGCCAGCCGTGTCTCCGCTTTTCCTGGAAGTGCCTGGCACTTACTCTGGTCAGCCACTCCGGCACTTGATAGGCAATTGATTTAAATTATCCATAAACCACGTAATGATACCTGCTTCTTAACCAACCCACAGGGATATTAGGACAATTAATTGGTTAATATTTAAGCGTTTTCCCCTTGTTGCTTGAGAGAGAAGCTATACAACCCCAGAGGTGTTATTACTATATATTGAAATCACTTCTTGTGCTTTCCTGACACGCCGAGGCTCTGAGTAATTATGACATTTTCTGGGCTATGGACACCTGAGGGCGACGAATCCTGGGGCTTCCCCCTAATGGTGGCAATGTAGTCCAAACAGACGAGATGGCCTTCAGAGTTCATTCTAGCATCATTACAATTCGATATTTTTAGAAAAGGGAAATGAATTGATATTAGATGAGATTAGAGATTTATCAAGTCTTAATTACTAGATTTATTATGTCTTGATAAATTACGATAACACAAAGGTTAGAATTTTACATTGTAGGACTTTGTTCCATCCTATCATTGCAATTTGTTCTCTTCTCTCTTTTTTAATTTTACGTGGCAACTTCGTATCTCTATATCCTGGTGGTTGGAAGCCTTCTGGAGGGCGATGGACGCTTGTCTTGCTGTACGCGCAGGGGTTAGTCCTGCTGCAGCGGCTGCTCTATTGCGCCACCTTGTGGTTACAAGTGAGGTTGCGGCGGGCGGGGTAGACGGTCTAATCACGCCCAGGCGCCAGCCTCTGAAACCCCTTAAAAGAACAAAATAGTAATTAAAAGCCACAAAATTGTGCTAGTGCGCGCCACCTGAAGCACCCTTTCCTAAAGACATAACATGTCGCTGAAAGAACTTGTTACAACAACTGCCTAATGGAAAACAAGTTGATACTTTGAAAAATATCTTTGGTCTTCCCCGTAAAAAGCAAGTGTGTAATTACAACGGCAACGTTCGCACAACGGAATACGGAGACAGGTAATGCGCCTTCAAGTCTGCCTGGATTTACTCCGTAGCCACCCCTTTCGTTAAGAAAGAGCCAGGGAAGAGTGAACTTACTAGAAAGGCTTGGCTTGGGGCTCAACACCAGTTCCACGGCCACCACCCTCACCGGACTGAGTTGTTTTTTTTTTTTTTTCCGGAACCAGGGATTGAACTCAGGCCCTTGCGCTTGCCAGGGAAGCGCTTATTCTACTGAGCCATCTCCCCGGCCCTTGGACTGCGCTCTATAGCTGCGCTCTCCTACTGCTTTGTGAGCTACACCTAAACTCCTGAGAGTTACTCAGGTTGCCTTTTTGTGTCTTGATTTCAAATTCCTGCTCCGTCCCCATGGTGTTTGGGCTATATATATATATATATATATATATGCTTAAGAATATAACTGCTGTGGTCTTGCCTTCTCTGTTCCTCTCCTTCCACCCAAGGCATGTCCTCTTTTATTTCCACTGACAGCCTGGAGTTAAGCTGAGATCTGGAAAATGGCACATTCCTAGAATGAAATATGGCCTGAGCCCCCTTTCCCCGGGGAACAAATGTGCATGAGAGCCATGGTGTGTGTGTGTGTGTGTGTGTGTGTGTGTGTGTGTGTGTAAGAGAATGAATCCCAAGTACATTTGGAGAATTGCGAAGAGACTTAAGATACTCCTGAGATGTGTATCAAATACAATTTCCAAGTCATTTTCTTATTTTGGCCTAAAATTAAGGACACAATAATACCACAGAGAGCTGACACCTCTTGTTTACAAATTAGAACAGAGATTTGCCTCTCTCCATTGTGTTCTAAGGGGAGCGCAAAAGGAGGTTAGATGACTTGGGGAGGCCTCCTGGTCTGCCCTCTGGCTCCTCTCTCAGCCCCAGCATTCTTTCACTCTTCCTGGACCTAAAAGGAGAGGAGAGGAGGGAGGTGGAGTGACTTGGCTCTGGCCTGGCGTTTCAGCCTTCCCTGAGGTCTTCCCTCTTTGGATCTCGTTCCCATCAGGTCTTGGAGTCTTCATTGTGTTACCCGTGGGAACCTTTGCCCTCCCACTGCACAGAGAAGAACACTGAGCCCCCTGTGACGAGGTATGCCCTCCACTTCCTGCCAGCCTGTGGCCCCACTCTGCTGCCGTATTGCAAATCATAAGTGTCTGCACCTTGCTCCCAGGCCCCTGTCTCACAGCTGGCCTGGGTCCAAAGCCCCTGGCCTAGGTGGGGCCACTGCTCATCTCCCAGGGTTCTCTGTTGCGCAGAAAGCCCGCTGGAGCGACTTGTGAAGAAGAGGTCGTGCCCAGCCTTGGGGGAAGGCGGACAGGGATGCTTGCTGGGTGTCCTTTCGAGGCCAGGTCAGGCCAGGTCAGGCCGGTTCTCAGTCGGTTCTCAGTTGCCTTCCTACCCTACTTGAGGGCCACACACGCTGCTGCTATCTCCCACTTGGCACTCTTTGGGGGTCCTGCAGTTTCCAGGGTGCTCTTTCTGTACCATCCCTTCCTGTTTTGCTAGGTAGTGCTGAGGAAACTGCACTTTCTAGTCCCTGTAGCCTTGGTTCTAGACTCCCAGCAGCTAGGGCAGGCAGGATTCAGCTTCCTCTCTTCCCCTGAACAGACAGAGCAATGGGTCTCTGTAGCAGGTCAGTGGCTTCTTGGTACAGTGTTTGCCTCACTTTTTGCATCGCTAGGCTCCTTTGCACTATTGTCTGTACTGGCCCTGAACGCAGACAACAGGCCCCGAAATGCACTGGGCCCTTTGGTGGACAGGAGCCCTGCCAAAGCCCCTCCGGACCCGCGAGAGTACACCATTGGACCCACCAGGAACACTGGTAGCCAGGCAGGGTGCGACGTCCTCTGGGCTCTGCTGCCCTGCAGTTCTCCACTTTTTTCTGGGCCCAGCGACTGCCCGAGTTCGGCGTCTCTAGTGTGCCCGCTCTACCTGCCCCGCACCAGTAGCCCAGGCGCGGAGGTCCCGGCCCTTGCGTGGCGAATGTCATTATGGAGCTGTTACGGAGCACCCGGCCGTGGGCCAAGCCTTTCCTCTCCCAGGCTCTCGCTCTGGGAAAGGTACAGAGTGCGCCTCGGGGCACAGACCCAGGTTTACTGCTCCGGCTTACCGCGGACGTCTTCGCTGTGGCCAGGTTCTGCCAGAGCCCGCGCCACCGCCCACCTTTCCTGGTGTAGGCGTGCAGCGGGGCAGGGGGCAAGGGCACTGGCATGCCAAGGTAGACAGCGCCCCTCCGGCTGGAAGCGGACCTGAACCGCGCAGGCAGCGTCCCCTGACCCTCCCGCGAGCGTCACCGCTCTGTCCCACGCGTCTGGAGATGCCAGGCCCACGCTTTCACCCGCTTCCCGGCCTTCCCAACGCTCGCCATGGGGGCCTGCCCCGTAGCTCAGTTCTTTAAGTGGCTGCTTCAACAAAGCAATCAGGCTCAGGTTGCTGTGGTCCGATCCCCACAACTCAAGCCAGCCAAACCTGCCCTGAAGGGATTCGGAAAAAAAAAAAAAAAAAAAATCCAACGCTCGTCAAACTTATTTCACGTGCTCCTGCAAAGACTGGAAAGCAAAGCCAGCGAGCACGCCCACCACCACGCGGGCGCGGTCCTTCCCCCTGCCAGCGGCCCCTTAGCCATCCCCTGGGGGGCAGCCGGGAGCCGCGGGAGACACAGGATGGCTAAAACCTGCCAGATGTCGATGGCCGGTCCCAGGACTAGCGAATGGAATAAGCTGTTTTTTTGTGGTACCGGGGATTGAACTCAGGATCCTGCGCTTCTCAGAATGTTTTATTTTTTCCCGCCAAAAAATAAAAACAAAAACCCTGGCCGCTCAGGCCCTCCGTAGTGTCGGCCTCCAGCTCCAAGCGCGAGTTCGCCTTCTGGTCCTTCATCCCCGGGAGCCGACTCCAGGCCCTCGCGCACTCAAGGCTTCTGGGCCGGGACCCACATTGCTGGGCTCCGGCTGGCTGTCGGGAAGACACTACAGCAGTCGTTGTTCCTACAGCCTGCTTCTGGGACTATCCGAGCCGATTTCACCTCCTGCTTTCCAGGGCCTGGACCCAGGCAGGCCCCCTGCAGTCGATGGTCAAAGCACTGGACCCTAGCCCCGAAGCTAACTCCAACTTAGAGTACCTCTAGCTGCCCGCCTTCCTTTCTGCCCTAGAAGTCTTTCTCTCCGCCTTCATCTCTTACCTACCACTCAACTAAGGAGCTGTGCAGACTCCTAGGCTTCACAGGAGCCAGACCCCAATGGCTTCAACCCCTGCAGGTCCCTAGAACAGGACCAAAAGTGCTTCCTGTCTGCAGGGGCAGGATGCTGC